CTCAATTACGTTTAGGTCGGGTGATTGGGGAGGTGTATTGATAACATTCGAACAGTTATATAATTGTCACATTTTGGCAATATGCGACGTATGTTTTGGGTCATTATCACTATAAAATTTAAAACAATTCAAAATTCCTAATTTTTCGGCACTGCTTTTTAAATTCTTCTTTAAAATATTCAAATAATCAAATTTGTCCATGTTCCTTTCAATAAATTACAAATTTCCTGTTCCAGTAGCTAATATACACCTCCAAACTATCACTGACCCACCTCCATGTTTAATAGTAGGATTCATATTTTTTATTTTAAATTCTTCATTAGGTTTACGCAATAACTTTGCCATCTGAATGAAAATAACTTCTTTCCAAAAACTAAAATCCTTAGTTATATACCGTCTCGCAAACTCCAGTCACCTTTTCTTATTTTTATCGTTGACAAATGGTTTATTTCTTGCTGTACGCCCATGAAAATCATTCTTTCTTAGTACTCTTCTTACAATTTTTGGATTCACAGCAAATATTTTTCCACCTAGTTCGATAATTTAGGTGCACTCAGCTTTGAATTTTCTTTGATTTTTTTAACTATCCATCGCTCATCGTACGCAATAAATTTTTGGTTCGGTGCTGTTCTTAATTTATTTGTAATTCTATTTTCTTCTCTATAGCGTTTAATAATGTATCGAGCAGTGCTAATACGTCTACCAATAATTTTTGCAATTTCCCGATAGCTTTTCCCATTTTGAAAGTTCTTCGCAACAATTTCTCGGGCCTCTAGTGTTGTTTGTTTCATTTTTACTATTATTACGATTTACTTCCTTCGATGCAATACCATGTTTACTAGCAAACTAAAACAATGTAATCTTCTTTTGTTTAACGTTTTTCCTTTCTTTTCGGGGATTCTTGGAGGGGAATACCAGATAGGAGAATAGCGTACGATTTTAGCTAAGAGATGTTTTCTGCACCGTATTATAGTAACTTAATTTTTTTATGTTAAGCAATATTCATTTCTTTTGTCACTATTACACAATAAATTCAGATATATTTACAATATATGTCTGCCTTATTTTTTTTCCAAATCATCCTGAAACTTCTTTTTTCGAATGAAACATATTTTTATATGTGGTGCACGATTTTAGCTGTGACTCACTGTAGATTACTAATCTGTCAGGTTTTTCGTAAGGATCGAGGTTAGGTCGGGTTAATTACTGATACACAGTTATAAACTAAGAACTATTAAACGATATACAGGGTGTTCGGCCAACTGTGAGAAAAATTTTAATGGGGGATTCCAGAGACCAAAATAAGATGAAAATCAAGAATATCAATTTCTTGACTGAGGCTTCGTTAAAAAGTTATTAGCAATTAAATTAAAAAATTTCAAATCGTTCTAGAAAAATTATTTTCGATTGCAGGTGTCAATTACAATCATTTTTGGTGAATAGACCTACCCCCGAAATCCTACCCACTTTCTAGAAAAAAATTCAGTACGGGCGGAACTTTAAACGTTAATAACTTTTTAACGAAGCCTCCATCAACAAATTAGTATTCTTGATTTTCGTCTTATTTTGGCCTCTAGAATCTCCCATTAAAATTGTTCCCAGGTGTGGCCGAACACTCTGTATATTAAAAAAGTAAGAAAGTGCAACGCGGCCATATTGGATTCTGAAAAGTGCATCGTACACGCGCATGCGCACAGCGTTAGTGCTGTACTCGGGACTAGTAGGGCCCGACAATATCGATTGAATCGTATGAAATCATTATACATATATTACTCACAGAATAATTAGGCGAGTTTTCTATAATTATGAAAAGACAGATTAAGACAACGTTTTATTTAATAAAATTCGAGTATAACCCCATCGACTATTCACAGAATGTCTCGTTTAATTTAAGATTAATTCAGGTCACACATTTGTGTATATTTTTGTGTTGGAAGAAAATATGTACCAAATAAGAGTTTGTTGATATCGAAATATTGTAACAATTAGGAGAATTGCCTTCACCAGGGTTTAATGACGCTCATATACTACAGTGCGGTCTGGTGTAGACTCCACGACACTTACAAACAATTCAATCTATTGCAATTCTAACCGACTCGCGACACTTATCGACAATTCACTGTAGTATGTGAGCGTCATTAGACCCTGGTGAAGGCAATTCTCCTGATTGCTACAGTATTGCAACATCAATAAACTCCTACTTGCTACATATTATCTTCCAATACAAAAACACACAAAAACTCGTGAACTAGAACTATACAGAGCTAACGTATAATTGTCTAAAAAACTATTGAGTGTCTACTCCTCCCAATAATCGTGTCCTCTCCATAAACACGTGTTATTATTCTTATAAAATTCGTACTCAGCGATGCCGAGAAGTTCCCCGTTACCGATCCAAGGGAAAAAATCTATCGAATAGAAAAATTCGCGATTCAAAGGGGGTTAAGTATCATTTTCGTTGCTCGTAGTTCGTTTCGACGTCGACAGTAATGCTTGATCCAACTCGGGGGAACGGGCGACCGTCGTCTGTCGTTTTTGAAATCCGTCTTCGCGGGATTCAAAGGTTCGTACCGTCGAAGATTTCGTTGCGAGCTCGAACGAAATAGGTTTACCGCCAGACCCTGCCGATAACACGTCTACGGCTGAATACGCGTCTCCTATGTCCGTACGGTACACTGTATAGCTTCGCAAAACGATCGAGTTCCTTTCCCTAGGTTAGATCGAAATTCGTCCCGTCTTTCGTGGTTTCCCTAGTTCCCATATTCGACCGTACCTCCGCCATTGGAAATCACTGACCGTTTTCGTTTACGATCGATATCAAAACGGAGCTCGATCGTAAAAAGTTTGCGGATACTTTGGCAACGAGATCGGCGAAGGAGAAGAGACAGGAAGGGGAGTAAAATGCCATGAGAGATCGTCGATCGCTCTGCGTGCCACTGTCGAAGAAGCGATAAAAAGCGCGTGAACACGCGAAAATTAGAAACCGTTTTTCCCCAAACGCGGCAGTTCCGCGAGAAAAGATATTAAAGTTAACGAGCAGCAGCCAAGGGATCGTTAAAAATCGCCATCGAAAATTCGTAAAATCGGACTCACGATAATTAAATTTTGGTAGGCTGTCGGCATGCTTGCTCGTAAAAAAAGCTCAGCGTCGCTAGTAGACGTAACTATCTTTTCCCTTGTAGAAGGTAGCAAAAAGATACATTTAAAAATCGTTGAAATGCTTCCACTTACAGAGAAGACATATGCACTGCAATTTTTCTCTTCTACTTTTTTAACTGTACGAGTTGATCCAGTTGCGTGAGACACCGCGTGTATAGAATCGTTCAGGCGTTTCAACTGATAAACCAGCATAAAGTAGGTCTCTTGGAGGGGGGTCTTAGAACATGCCGAAAAGGTGTTTCCTTCGAAATTTTTTTCTTAAACAGTTTTGATAGCACCTTCAAACTTTGCATATCTGTACTATTATATAAATTTATCCGTTTGGATGTTTTCTGTGCCTATTTTTGTACTCGATAAACTGGAAACCCACTGGACCGATTTAGATAAAACTTTCGCTGCTAGATAGTTTGTTCTTCTAGTTCAAATGTATGCAGCATTTCATTATCACCAGACCTTAAAGTCTTGCATAACGCGAACTCGTGGAAAATGTCTTTCTCAATCACAATAAAATAATATTTATCACAAATAACTATAAAATATGTGAAATCATAATGGTGGAAGCCAGTCGAGTTTTGTAGTCTCTCATTATTTCCGTTGAAAAATATTTAAAAAAAACTTGCGAAATTTTGCATAATTTCAGAGGTACACCTCAAACACTGAAAAAGTATGTATTTTGCAGCTTTAAAAAAAATCTCTCTCCAAATTCGTATTTGCAAATTAAATTCCTCACATTTAAATCCATTACTTAATAGAATACAATATTCGCTTCTAATTATTCCATTTTCGAGTCGATTCCGTATTTGAGAATCGCGACGTTTATTTTAAGAATCATTACTGTGCCCGAGAATTGCGTAAAACCAAAGTTCGTTGATCTCAAGCACCTTCGACTCTCATATTCTGTTTATCAACTATCGGTGTTCGAGCCATCGTGCGACGTCGCCCGAACGTTGCCCTTCTTGGTCGCGTCGCGCGTAAAAAAAAATGTTTTTACGCGTTGGCATCGTTTCGTGGCTCGTTCCCCGCGCAGAAATAAAGGGGAATAGCAACGTAACTGGTCGACGCGTAAAACCGCCGCGCGCGTTTATTCCGCGACGCGAAACGGGTCTCGACATAAAAGAGGAAAAGGGGCGCGAAGAAGAGAAACGCGCCAGCAAAGAATCTACAAAGAGACGGTAGAATAACGGGGAGAGAGGGGGTTTTCGGATTTTCATGGTTTCCGTGTCTGAAATCGAGTTAGAGGAAAGAAAAGACCTCGAAGGGCCCTTTGGGGTGCCAACGACTCCTTCGATGGGATTTTGATTCTGCGAGAATTTTCTTGACCAGCCGTTTATAGGTAGGACACGGTGCGACCGCGTATATAGGAGCACTCACACAGACGCGGATAAGCGAGGAAACGAGGAAAGCCAGAGCATGCGCTCGGGTAGCACCAGTGTACGAGATTCGGTTCTCGCATTAGTCGAACCCCGGCAACGGCAGGGGTAGAACGCGCTCGAGCTACCCTTCGATCCAGCAACGTGCTCGCTGTTACGTGCCACAAAGCGTCACCGATCCCTTGTGCCGATCGACCGACAGAAAAACCAGCAGCGAACTCGCGAAACGATCCACCTTTACGCTCACGAACCGTCCAATCGTTTGACGCCCAGTGATCGCGTCCTTTTTGCTGTGAAAAACCTTTGAAAATTCGTCGACATGATACTCACGTTCGTACGACTTCGGGATACTCACAACTGTCAACGGTTTCTCTCGTGATCTGTTTATGATCGCCACCAAACTCGTTTCATTTGACAACGAGAGCTACGTGGAGAGTCTAGTCGCGTTTTCACAGCGATAATTGTGGTGTCGACGGCAGTACCGGTGGTGGTTGTGTCGGTAGTGGTCGTGGTGGTGGTGCTGGTGCGGGGGTGGTGGTGGTAGTGTTAGTGCTACTGGCAGAAGCAGCACGTGAACGCTCGGCGGACACGATAAAAAGATGCGGTGAATCGTCCTTCTGCCATCACATCGAAAACGCATCGAAGGCTTTCTCGTTGCGACTACTCCAGATAGGTGAGTCAGAGAACTATGTTTATCTATTGATGTATTCGGGGAATGCTGTAGTGTACATCGAAGGAGCAGCTTCAATCTCGCGTCTAAGCTTTTGACCCAGTTACCCTCGAGCTGTCCATCGGTTCGCAAAAACGGCTCTTTGTGCTGGCTGTCCGAGAACAACGTCCGATCTTTCCGTTCCGAGAACCGTCCAAGTTTATCGGATGGCTGCGATTAATTTGAAACGTCCGAGGGAAATTAAAGTTCAGGCGGTAACGCTTCGGACTCGAGGGTTTGTAAGTTCTTAAGAAGCGTTTCCCGTTGTTTCGAACGATCGCGAAAGAAACGGATTTTTGATAAAATCACCGTCGAGGCATTTTAATTTCTTTCGAGCGTGTTTAAAGCACGACGATTAATTTTCGAACCGACGAGTTTTCGCGCCGGAAAATTTCCAATTGGACGAAGATTACGTGGCTTCGAACGCTGGTAACGTACGCGTTCGCAGGAGAGATTTCAGGCTGGCGATTAACTGGAATCAAACGATGGATATTGGTTGTTTGTACGATCCGGTCGGCAGTTTCCACTTTCGAATGAGCTTAATGAAATCGTAGCTCTTCGACGCATTTGCACGACACGGTATCCGTTCGACGTAAAAGTCAGTCGCCCGACCGTTTAAAACGAATCGCCCGTTCACGTTTTATTATTATTGTTGCGATGTATATAACACCCGTTACTTTGGAATATGTGTATTTATGAATGTTCGATCGAACGCTGTTAACGATGATTGATAAAATATAGAAAAATTGGTGGTTAAAATGTTTGGTTTGTTTTTATAAATAGGAATCGTCGAAAGAAAGTATACGTTGTACCATAAATTATTATAATTGTCATTTGTCTTAGGTTTAATGTTGAACAAAGACATTCTGCTAATTGATTTCACTAAAAAAAATGTATAGTAGCATTTTTGGGTTGCATTTCGTGATGTATAAATTCGAGATATAACTCGCCCTAGTTGTGTGACACAGTCTGTATATTTCTGAAGACAATAATAGCTTTGTGGTAGGTCGAAGTCAAATAGGTTTGGGATAGGTTTAGAATCCTCGTACATCATATGTCATGGTCAAGGTAATGGACAAGTTGATAAAAATAATTACCATATGCGAAGAAATCATTATTATTATTAATAATAATATAATTTTGTCCAACAACTCTAGCATAACTGTTTCGCCTAGTTGTCAATTTTCAGTTGCGGCACTCTCTTCTCAATTTATCCATGTTATATTAACAGTAGAGGAAGTGCAGTATATTTGGAATACCAGTATGTTTAACATAAATAAATAATTACGGCAGGTGGTGGGTACAAATAATACGTCATAAAATTATAGCGAATCACTGGTCTAGACCCATTAATCATAAATAAATAATTAGAGACCGTAAGTAACGTTATTGCAAGAGTTTTATTATTTTTCTTTTCGAGCAACCGCTGTATGTGAAAATGGAATTTTTGTATTATTAATGCAAACTCGAGGAGGAAGAACCTAAGACCCAAAGTACATCCGCCGTTTTACGTTATATAAATATAAATTGATACCTTCGTTGATTCAGTAGACGCGTTGGGATTTAACTAGAAATCGGTTACACGGCGTTCTCGGAACGCTTGGAGTATGCGTCGTCCACGTAACATTCCGTAACGTGTCATCGACAGTGCCACGATCGATCATCCAGAGATGCGTAGAATAGATGCAGCGTCCTATCGATCCTCCGCGTTGAATCGTTGGCACGATTCGAACGAAAATTTTCGATGTTAATGATTATTATTACTCGTTTACTATCGGGTAAAACCCTTACACTAATAATAATTATTGTACAGCACGCTGCAAGAATAGTTTTAGACTTCTCAATATCGCATTGAAGAAATTTTACAACAATTCCACGATAAAACGTTTCACTTAGAATACGGTGGCGCGCTTTAACGAGGTAGAAGCGCGAATCTGGTTCCTGGAGTAACGAAGTCGTTAATATAAAAAAATCAAGAAAATCGTCGATAAATAATTTGCAAAGAATACCTTCTCAGTGAAATCTCTATTGTGAAGAGATAATTATTTATTTCATAATAATTGGCAATGTGGAGAAATTCCTTGGCGGAAGAAGAAATAGGTTGAAAAAGAAGAACGATATCTAATTACTAACGAAACGCAACGATTTTTTTCTCCCGCGAGTACACGTTGTTAGGCGATAATTCCGTTCGCTAGTTCCGGTTTATTTATCCGTAGGATTACTTGTGGCGTTCCCGGAAGATCGGGAGCATTCCGTAGAGTTTTTCAAGCCTTCCGTTTTTGCCGGTCAGTCGAGCGCGCGACCACCGATCGAAAAGTTGTCCCACGGGCGCACGGCAATGGTCGAGGCGATATTTCATCAGTGGCCTCGGTTGTTTCGAAACGATTATCCGGCTGGAATTCTCTGCGAGCCAACGAGACCAAGTTTCGGCCGCGGCATAACGTATTAGCGGGCCCGATATCTATGACCTTCGACGGCATTAATCTCAACCACGATAACCTACACGGTGATTACGAGCCGGCAGCATATTCGGCGGCGCGCGGGATTACGCGAAACGATCGATTCGTCGAGCTGCCGCCGGTTCACGTTCGATCTTCCTTTTATTCGGTATCGTTGGACGGAGGAGAGAAACCCGGTGAAACGAAATTTCATCGACAGCGGCAGCAGGAGACTGACGACATCAATCTCATCGACGGGGAAGCCGAGGGTGATTATGGTCGGTGGATCGACTCAATTCGCCGTCCCTCGGGCGTGGTGGACCACGTTGATCCACGTTGCACCACGACGGACCATGGAGGGTAACTGCTGGAAACGTTTTACGTCGCCGGAGGGAGAGACCGAGGGAACACCGAGTTACACGTACGTGTATGCGTGAAACCGGGCTGCCGGTGGTTGGTAGTAGGCGATAGCAAACAGTTTCAGGAATGCGTGGCGTGTGTTTCGAGCGCGCTGATATGATTTAGGAATCGCTTCCTACGGCCCCGACTACTATCCACCCGGGTCGGTCGGTGCTCTTGCTCCGTGGCACACGACCGTTGTGGGATTTGCGTGCAACGCCGCTAAATGTTTCGCTTCTCCGACGCCACTGTCCAAGATTTACCGAGCTTACGTGACCTTTCGGCCGCGAAATTAGGCCGATTCATCATAGGTCGTCTGAATGCTTACGCAGAGACGTCGACGCCGACGCCGACAACCCCTGGACACCCCGCCCACCGCCCACCCTCCTAGCCTCCTCTATTCATCGTCCTGCGATCGACGATACACGCTTGGTGACGACTCGCATTCGGTCTGCCAGTTACACACCCTCAAGGTCCGTCCATCGATCGTTCGTCCCCTCTATCGGTTACGCGATTCTCGATATTCGAACCCGAACACAGAGTTCAGTCACCGATGCCAGTGACGGAGCAGTTTCAATTATTATTCATTGTTGTCAAGATCGGACTTGAACCTTCTATCAATTTTGGAGAAAATTATTTTACCTTAATTTGTCAGCACCGATGCTCGTACTGTACATTTTTTGCATTGTTGTACGATATATTTCAACTAGTTAAACAACCTGCAAAAGATATATTGACTATACGATAACCCAATTAATGTTTCAGAGCACCCGACAAGTAGAAATGTCAAGTATTAGTCCGACGTGTTTACCAAATTTTATTTAAATATTTTTGATTCATTTTTTGATGTAAATGTTCCTATTTTCGTATACGTAAATTATTCTTAAACTTTCGAATTTTTGTATACCCTCTCTAACGCATTTGATCATTATCAGTTAATTCTACTTGTTTTATGTCATTGTCAGCACCGATGTTAATACTGTATATTTTTAGCATTGTTGCATAATATATTTCAATTAGTTAAACAACCTGCAAAAGACATATTGACTATACGATATCCCAATTAATGTTTCAGAGCACCGAACAAGTAGACATAACGAGTAATAGTCAGACATGTGTACCAGGTTCTATTTAACCTCGTACTCTGCGAATCAATTTTAAAAAACAATTTTTACGAGAATATTTTTGATTCACTTTTTCACGTAAAGTGTTCCCATTCTCATTTGATCCGCCAATCGTCGAACAATCTGTATGTTATTATAATTTTCAAAATAGGCACCGTGAACGAAGGCATCCCACGTTCTTAAATGTTACAATTTAAAGTATTTAAAAGAAATGATAATTAGTATCCGAACAAAACTGATTCTCCCCGAAATTTAACGCCGTATTTCAATTTATTTACATTGAAGGATTTATCTTTAATTATAATGTACATTGTTAATCGTAATTAGAACGTCACGTTCCGTTGAATAAGCAACGTTATACGAGTTTCTATCTATGCGAAATACATTGTAACCGTCAAGACAATGATAAGTAAATTATAAATATGCAAAGACCAGGCGTTGACCCATTTTTCGTAACCGGCTCGCGCTAATTACGTAAAATAAACGCGACTCGACTCCGTATAATTGTGCGCGCGGCCGGGACCGTGAGGCTTGGACGAACAGCCATAGCTTCCGCGTTTTCTGCTCCCCGAGAAACTTTTTACCCGACCGGAAGGGATGTTAACGGCTAATGCAGTATGCACCGTTGTCGCCTGTTTTCTTGCAATGGATTAGGCCGTCGTCGAACGTCCCAATGAACTCGATTCGCAACTGCGGAGTGCCTTTCGATCGTGGCGACGCATTAATAAATTATTATGTTTGTCCTGGCGTGGAACCAGCGGCTAACTAATATTTTTATTCCGATGTACGGTCACGAGAAAGAAATTAAGAACGATCTTTTCATTTATTTTATACTACAATTGTGTAATTCATTTGTACTGCATAGAATGTGTAGTATACATATAGTGAAATAACCAAACAAGATTAATACTGAATCATTGAATAATTCAAAAAAAAATTTCAGCACATAACGATATTAATTTTGTGATGGGTGGCGACGTACAGGACATACATACGAAGGTCA